CTTTTATTTTTACCTAAACGACTTTTTTTTTTTTTTGCAAATAAAGGTGAAGTGTCATTTGTTAGACAACAACTTTCTTCTATACCATGTTATTATGCAGAGACAACTTATGTAAGCTTTTTTTTATTTTATTAATACAAACAGACGTAAGAGAATGACAGTATATCATCAACTTGTGTAAGATATTTGTAGAATATTTCAACAGAAAGTGTAAACACTTTAATATGTGTGAATTTAAAGCTGCTAAAATATTATATAATATAAAAAATGAATATAATGTATTTTTATTATATAATATAATAATCATTTTACAAAATATAACGTATAATTTGTTTAGAAAAGAAACATTTAAAAATGAATTCGAGTACTTTTATTGTTTTATTATTATTATTTTACACAAACAGGGCTTTTATTTTGAAAATACATTTCCGGACGTGCAAGGAATTCAAGAGTTGACGTATTTGACGTTGACTAGTACAGGAAGTTATTTTACTTAGTTGACAGCTTTCCTTAATCGAGTGCCTTACTAGATTTGTATTTAGTTATCGATATAAGGCAGTAAATATGTAATATATCTCAACATCTTTCTAATTGGACTGTTGTGCATCAGGCTGGGTCAGGGCAGCGGTGTAGTGTGAGTGTTTGTGGAGGTGTTTGTTAACTGAAGCCGGTGGAGATGTGCTCGCTGGAGAAGGTGCTGGGCGACGCGCGGACGCTGCTGGAGCGGCTGAAGGAGCACGACACTGCCGCGGAGACTCTCGTCGAGCAGTCGAGCGTCCTCAGCCAGAAGATCCACAGCATGAAGGAGGGCGGAAACGCTCTTCCTGACAAGGCATGATATGAAATCTCTTACTGACCACCCTACTGAGCACACACATGACCTCTAAGAGCATGCACGGCACAGATTACAGTTGTGTGCATGTGTTATTGCATGTACATTGCACAATATGAGCCATTTATTGTTGCACAGTATGAGGTTCAGTGGGTAAGATCTGGACTGATGAACCAAAGGCTGTAGGTCGGATGGGTAGATAGTTTCATTATTGTCACTGTTTTGCAAAAAAAAAGGGTAAGAAAAAAAAAAAACAGGGTAAGAAAAATAAACTTAATTCAAAAGGGGAAAAATATTATTTTCTTACTCCATTGACGGTTGACTACCATCTCTTTTTCTTGTTTTAACATAAACATAATTTTGATAACATTTTTTGAAAACAAGACATGTTCTTATGTCTTATATCTTAAGTTATTTTCGTTCTCTTGTAAATATATCTTGATTAAATAATAAGAAAAAAAACAACAGACAAAAAGTAAAAAATTTTTTTGCAGTGTAAAACCTCAGAGGTATGGATAGCAGCTTGGAATGCAGTGCAATATTAAAATTTGGCTGTTAATATTTTTTGTGTGTTAATGCTGATAACTAATATTATGCCTGATATTATAAATCTATAGTATTGTCATGAACATTAAAGCTGTCTTTTAATTTTTTTTGAAAAGTGGAATTAAGAATAAAAACATGATAATATACAAGCTTGACGGTTGAATTTTATGAAGAATATTTATTAATATTTTTTGCATTGTGCTGCATTTTGGACTGAATTTAATTTTATTATAATAATAAATGTAAAAAATTATGTTTAAAATTGAGAACCTTGCAACTAACAATTATTTTAATTATTGGTTAATCTTTTGTTTATTTCTTTAAATAATCTGATATTGTTTATAATATATTCATATATATATATATATATATATATATGTGTGTGTGTGTGTGTGTGTAATGTTTTTTAATTAATCTATCATAATATTTTCTTATCAATTACTTTCATTCTTGATTATTGTTCCTTTTATTGATTAGTTGTTGCAGCCCTAACTATTATTTTGATAATTGATTAATCGAATGATTATTTCATTGATTAATCAGATTTTTTTTTAAAATCTATAGATGGCCTGAATGAATTGATAATCAAATTTGTTGTCAATTTAGTTGTTGCAGCGCTAGAACCCTATATATGGTGCGTCTCTAATAACTAATAAATGAAGAATAACCAATAACTATCCATTATGAATTAATTTTTTTCCTGTATTTAGTACATAGAGGAAAGCACAGAGTATCAGGAGCTGTCCAGACACAAGCCTCACGTCCTGCTGACCCAGGAGAACACCCAAATCAAAGACCTCCAGCACGAGAACAGAGGCAAGACGGCACGAGTTTCTTCAAAGTGTCTTGCATTTTTTAAAAGGAATCCCTGATTCAACTCTTTGTGCTGTTCACAGAGCTCTGCCTCTCTCTGGAGGAGCACCAGTACGCTTTAGAGCTGATCATGGGCCGATACCGAAAACAGATGCTTCAGCTGATGATGGAAAAGAAAGAGCTGGATACCAAACCTGTGCTCAGCCTTCACCAGGATCATGCCAAGGTGCCAGACCTTTGCTTTCTTAAAGGGGTCATATGATGCGATTTCAATTTTTTCTTTCTCTTTGGAGTGTTACAAGCTCTTGGTGCATAAAGAAGATCTGTAAAGTTGCAAAGACTAAAGTCTCAAATCCAAAGAGATATTCTTTATAAAAGTTAAGAGTCAGCCACACCCCCCTAAAACGCCTCGTTCTAACACGCCCCCACATATCTACATCACTATGTGGAAATATTAGCATAATGCCGCCCAAACGTGCACGCAAAGAAAGAAGGCGTGGTTTCAGAAACAGCAGTAGTGTTGATGCAGCCATGTCAGGGAGAAGCTGTGTTTCAGTGCGAAAGCAAAAGCACTTTATTTGGCCTTCCGAAAGTAGATGCATTTAGGAATCTTTAAGATCACTTACAACAGAACAGCAATGCATTCTATGGACGACCGTTTAGTGAACCTAGGAGAGGAGGTAATTCTGACTTTGCTATGACAATCTGGCGCTTCTGAATCAGCTACTGTTTTGTTATTAGCTTAAGTA